TCACATATAATTATATTTTAACAAGTTTAATGTGATGGTAAATAGAACAACTTAACGCAAAAATAAACAAACGTTTCGATCCATATCGGATCATTATCAATGTTATATATAAACATAAACCAATACAATATTACAAGAATATAAAAATTATATAATCGCTCTAGATCGCAAACTTAAATGTAAGTAAATGGAAGAACTTAAGATGTAATAAGTCAGTATGTATGTTCCAATCCGGCAACAATTTGAATCTTTCGGCATTGTGTGTGGAAAAAATTAATTTAATGTCTGGTAAAAATTATGTACAATCATTACATGTAGCAAAACACAAATGTTAACAAATAAAATTCAGCAAACGTTAGGTTCTCAAATAATATTAAGTAGAAAGTACAATGTGATAAAAATTGAGTAAAATTAAATTGAAGTAATTAATAAAACTAAACAAATATATACAAAAAAATGATCTAAGGAAGAGAGAATAAATGTGTAATAACCGATGTAATATGAAATAAAAAAATAAAAATATTGATCGTTGAAATAAACACTATTCGAAATATGTCATAATTAATGTACAAAAATGAGTAATTGGTTAAAAAATTAATAATAATATACCTTAAATATTATAAATCGTAGTATTATAGAGTGTTCTCTCAATAATTCGTAAGTTCGTGTATAACATAGTGCTTCTTCCATAATTACAATTAAGCGACGAGAGCCAAAAGAACATCTCACATATATGTACAGAAAACAAGTGACCGAACAAATTCCGGTAAGACAATTTTAAAGCAAACTCCAACGGAAGGGGTAAATTAAGAGAGGGGAGAAAAGAAATAGAAGGGAAAAAGATGGGAAGGAAAGAAGTGTAACGGGAAAGCATTATGAAGGGGAAAGAGCTTGTATGATGTTAGAATACGAGTCTGATATAATGATTCAGTATCTTTCATTTTATTAATACCCTGTTTTTGTCTTTTGATATGGATCATTTCGGATACAAGTCTTTTGTTATAAGAAGATTCACTGTCAAGAATTCTAACGTCGTTCCATTTAAAGTTATGATCAAAATTGACACGATGGTCGGTTATTACAGTTGATGAACCAGTATTCTTTCTGATGTCCGCCTTATGTTCATTTAATCTCGTGCTCAACTTTCTCTTTGTTTGGCCGACATAACTGGCATCACAATCTTCACAAGAGATCATGTATAACATTTTGATTTGACATATATTTCAACTTATCTTTACCCCTCTTGATAAGACTCTTCAATGTGTTAGGAATGGTGAAAGCTAATTTACAATGGAACATACTAGAGATAGGTAGGAAGCTCTCAGAAATTGATTTGACATAAGGAATAGTAAAATATAATTTGTCTTTAACTAGTAAATTACGTGTAGTATCTTTATTATGTGTATAGAATTTCATTCTTTGTTCTATTGTGGAAAAAAGTAAGGATTGTGGATAACAATTGTCTAGGAAAATGTTGATAGCTTCAATCAAATTTTTCTGGTGGAACGATGGATGTGATAGTAATAGAATTTTGTCTATGGAGCTGATAATTGTACCTTTCTTGTGGCAAAAAGGATAGTTGGAATAGAAATTGAGGAATCTACCGGAAAAAAACTTTTTGTGAAAAATATCAAAAATAATTCTATTGTTCTGTATGATAATTTTGGTGTCTAAAAAACTAATTCTACCCTCTGTACCAACTTCCAAAGTAAATCGGGTATGTAATGAATTGAAAGTGTTAAGTGTGTCAATTATATTGTCAGATGGAAGCGCAAGTATAATATCATCCACATATCTAAAGTAGAATAACGGCTCAACCCTTAACTTGCTGATGGCACTCTTCTCAAGATCTTGAAGAACCATATCAGCTATAATGGGTGATAGAGGTGAACCCATTGGAGTACCAAATACTTGCTTATAAATTTTTTTATTAAAGGCAATGAAAGTTGATCCCAAAATAAACCTAACTGCAATGATAAATTCACTTTTTGGAATGCAAGTATTCACCGAGATGTGCTCCCATCTCCTATCAATGCTATTCAATGCTAGATCGGTAGGAATATTTGTAAAGAGGTACACCACATCAAGCGAAGCCAAAACATAACCTGGGTCAACAACTCTACCGTTTAATTTTTCCACCAATTGAAAACTGTCTTTAATATGACTGAACGTCTTTGGTATACTATCATTAATAATGTTGTGCATAGAAAGAGAAAGAGCATATAATGCACCATTAATGGAAGATACTATAACTCTCAATGGGTTACCATCCTTGTGTATTTTGATTAAACCGTAAGCTCTAGGAATAACACCATCAGTAGTGAGTAATCTGCGATATGTAACATCGTCAATGAAACCATTACGCTTCCATCTTACCAACAAAACACGTAGGTTCTGACCTAGGTAGCAAGCTACGTCATTTTGACGTCATTTTTACGTCAAATGACGTCATTTTGACGTCAGCTTGCTACCAGGGGAGTTACTTTCTTTGTAGGATCATTGGTAATCTTTTCATATGTATTCAAATCTGAGAGAATTTCCTCCATTTTTTCAATGTAAACATCATTGTCAAGTATAACCGTTTCCCTTGTCAGCGTTAGTGATTAATAAATTAGG